ACTGTAAGCAATTTTTTGATTAAAAAAAAGGTTTATATTGTTAGCAGTAAAAAGAAGTACAACTCAAATGAGTTTGTTCAGCTGGGAAGTGTTAAGTATGCAGAGCTAAGACGCTCACATTTACTGGAGTTAATCCTTTGAGGGCAGGTCCTGCAAGTGACAGAAAACCCCACTCAAACTGACTTAAGTATAAAAGGGATTTTTTCTTTTTAAAAATGTAGATGAGAGACCCGCAGGGAGATCTTCCAGCCAGTTTATTTGGTGCCAGATGATATCTTCATGACTTGTTCTCTCTCTCCATCTCTTGATTCTGTTCCCTCTGGATTGGCTTCACCCTGAAATGGGCCCTCCCTTGTGGCACCAGCCTGTGTCCGTAAGGCTCCAGTGCAGCAGGGAGAGAGAAAATGTCACCCAGGTTTCTCATTGAGCCAAACTCAGTCAATTACCACTTTAGAATAAGTCCTTGGAACTAGGAATTTAGTGGGCTGTTAAGCACCAAAGCCACAGCTTTAGAGTTGGGGAAGGTGGATCCCCCAAAGAAACTCAGGCACTGTTACCAAAAGAAGACAGAAGGAAACTGTGCAACTGTCTTGGTTAGGACTTATTGTGTTTTAACTAATAGAAAAACTGTGTAAATAATAAAGGGATTTATTGACCAGGAAACTAGAAGGTCCTGAGGTAGAGAGGAAGGCTTCAGGATTGGTTTGATTCAGGGCTTGGTGCTATAATCGAGGAGACCTGGTTCTCATCTGCCTCTCTGCCAGCCCCTGGCAGAGTCCATTTTATCCTTAGACTGGCTTTCCTCAGAGTGGCAAAGCAGCCAACCACAGCCTGGGCTTTGCTCCACTCCTCTGGCAACGGAAGGAGAATGGGCAAGCTCTTTTGGAAAGCAAAGGCAATTACTTCCAGAAGCCCAGCACTTCTTGTCTTCCCATCTCCTCGCTCGAAACGGGTCACATGCCCATTCCTGATTCAGTGAATCTCTTTGGCCAGCATAAATGTGGACCAGATTTGCTTAGGTAGGTGGAGATTTATTTACCAGAAGTGGGATTATCTCACCTGCCTTCTCAGGTCCACACCTGGAGCTGGAGCTGGAGTTAGTCGTCTGCACCCGATCACTGTCCCTACCCAGTCAGGAGTTGGGAGTGGTAGTTGCTGGACCTTGGATTAATAGTAACGCTGGGGCCAGGTCTTGCTCTTTCCTTTATCTCTAGTGTTCAGCACAGGGCTTGGCACTAGTAGGTCCTCAGTAGATGTCTGTTGAACAGATTTAAACTAGAACAGTGCACTTGTTTATTTTGAAAGAAATCAGGAGTTTTGTGCATGAGTAAATGATGGCCCAAAATAAATTCTGTCCAGCTTTAAATATAGATTCAATGTGGATCTGTCTTTGACCTGTTGGTTGATTAGAAAAGTAAAATGTGGAATCTGGTAGAGGCGACAAGACCGCTTCTTCTCTTATCCTGTCCCACGCAACATAAATTTTCCTTCTGGCTTTTGGGTGCTCGTTAATTCCATTACAATGAAGAGTATTATAAACCAGAGTTGGTATCAGAAACTATTCTAATCCTGACAAGTCCTTTGATGATCTCATGATACTGAAATTTGCTGCTATGAATAATTCAGTAAAACAACTCCCCTTTTTTTCTTTACTTCTTTGCCTTGTCATAATCATTGATTATAGCACTTTCCTTTCCTTAATCAAATACCTAAATGTCTTTTAAAAAGTACAACGCTCTGGTCAGTGAGGAAGAAACTCCATTTCTCGCCTTGACCAATAAGGGAAATTAGAAATACCATCAACTTTGTTTGAAAAAAATCTCTAAGAGTGGAAAAAATAGATTCTGGCAGGAAAGGTTAGAATATTTCAGTATTATTCTTTTCATCAAGACACTTTTAGAAATGACCACGTGCCTGGGCTGAAGTCTTAGTCATGGTATTGGTGCCTGTTTTGAACTTCTTTGAGAAGTATTTTTTTCTCTGATGAAATTTTGACTTGGTGAAAAAAACGTGAACAGCTGTTTGAGTTTGCTGTGATTAGTATTTTGGTTCTGGTTATAGCTAAGTGGGTGCTCATTTCTAGGATCATAGTTATGATTGGTTTTGTATGTCTGGGAGTTCTCTGGTATCTGAAGTTTATTGTGGAAAATATCTATTGGAAAGGGTTTCTGTGCATGCTATGTCCACAGTCCTTAACTTGCTGTCTTGTCCTTTGTCCATGTCCCATCACTATAAGTGATCGAACCAGGAATGTGTATCAGGCCCTTGGGCAGCCACTTTCAGATGGCAAAGTGGCTATGAAAGGCTCTGGTCCAGTGTTCTGCCAACAATTGTTCTGCCCAGGGATAATCTATCCTGGGCAATCTAACTATTTCAATCAGATTCTCTTCTGGGGAGGCTGGTATGTCGGACTCCGAGAGAGAAGGTAGGGAGAGATGCAGAGACAAGGACAAAGCTTTAAAAGCCAAGTGAAGAAACCTTGAAGGCACGAGGAGAGGAAGAGAGAGAATTTGTTAGAAGAGAACAGCAGAAAGAAGAGCAAGCAGAGAAAGAAGGCATGCCAAGGAGCTGGTTCCACACAGAACTAGACTGTTGCAGATGACTGTCTCTCTGCCCGGGCTGTGTTCCTGAAAAGCCATGAACAATGGCGTCCAGTTTCTCCTGAGATTTGGCTCTACCACCAGCCAGAGAAGATTTGTGTTTCCCTTTACCAACCTTCTACCGGTAACAGTCATGGTTCAAAGACATTTGGGCCCTCTTTGAAGAACGGTTTGACATGGACTGGCCTGCTGCTCAGTGGAGCATGGATAACATATGGCATTTCCAACACATGCTTTAAAACGTCAAAGCACAGTTCACCGTATTCTTTTTTTTTGGTCATGGCTACACTGCTGTGTTTCACACAGAAGGCAGCTCTGTCCTTTTAGTCCCGGAAGCAGAGACAACATGCCGAACAGAGAGCACACAGCTGATCAAATTGTCATGTACACATGAGTGAAACCAAACACCACTGCTGAGTGTAAGCCACGTGACGATTTGGGGTTTGGTTGTTCTTGCCAGCAAATGTGGCTGAACCTGACAAAATCAAACAAACAACAAACAGAAACCACTCTAGTCACCAGGGTTACCATGCTCGAATGTTTTGTGTTCCCTTTCCAGATTCAGATGATGAACCTAATCCTCCAAGTTGATGATATTGGGCAGGCGGCTTTAGGAGGGTGATTAGTTCTTCCTGCCCGCCTCGGCCTCCCAGAGTGCGAGGATTACAGGCGTGAGCCACCACACCTGGCCAGCTCACTGTATTTTTTTAAAAAGAAAATATTATTATGAAAATCATAAGGAAGAGAAAATATATTTAGTATTCACTAAGTGGAAGTGGATCCTCATAAAGGTCTTCATCCTCATCATCTTCACCTTGAGTAGGCTGAGGAGGAGGGAAGAGGAAGAGGAGGGCTTGGTCTTGCTGTCTCAGGGGTGGCAGTGGCAGAAGAAGAAGGGGAGGCAGAGGAGGGAGGAGAGGCAGGCACATTTGGTGTGACTTTTATTGAAAAAAATCCACGTATAAGTGGACCCAAGCAGTTCAAACCCATGATGTTTAAGGGTCAAGTGTAATTTAATTATCTCTTCTCTCTTTAGAGGAAAAGAACCAAATTCATTGCCTGTGATTTTCTGACGGAGTGGTTATACAAGTGAGTTGTTCATGTCTTTGAATATTCAATGACCCTAAGGATTCAATAGTGTTAATTTGCAAGCAGCACAGCAACAATTGACTTGAATTCTTACTTATTGTTTTCTTGTCAATCAAACATATGGCATCGTGACCAGCCAAAACCCTAAGAGGATAGGAGAGCCGTTCACAGAATTCTTCTCCATTCCGTTTGTGAAGGAGTGGCTAAAGGACCAGTAAGTACAACACAAGGCTTTGAGTAATTTATTCCTAATTTTAAAATTGAGTTAATGATAGTTTTTTTCCAATCTAAGAGAACTAGCTCATGTGATCCATCCAGGACCCTGGGTCAGTTATATCTATGGCTCTTGTCTCTGCTTATTTTTAGCCTAGGCTAAGCTCATCCTATCCATGCCAGTAATTTCACTCAAGAAACACTTCAGGCTGGGCGCGGTGGCTCAAAAGAGAAGATTATTTCCCTGTAAATAATCACACAATATGTATATTCCATGTGGTTTATAGTGCAATGTTTTGAGGTTCCATGTTGTAGTAGTATCAGTGCCTCATGTTTGTCACCAAAAATAATCCAATAATGGGAGATACACATTGCTGGAGTTGCTCCTTTTGGCTTGTGTGAATAATCGCTGCTGGAACATTTGCATACAACTCTTTTGGATATCATTTCATTTCTCTGGGTATAGATATCTAGATGGAGGAAACTGGATTTGCAACTTGACCTTATTATATTAGTTTGAATATCATGGACATTTAAATAGGTCAAACGAGAACCCAATTTCGCAAATCCTTGGAAGAGCACCTAAATAGTGAAATTATGGGCTCAACAGTGAGGGCTTTTGGTAAGATCTTCCATTACCCCGGTAGCCATCTAAGTGAGTGTGACAGGTGATACCTTACCCAACTATCGTGATCATTCTTTTAATGAATTTAAATTGTCAAAATACTCTTATATGCCAGGCATACATTTCACATATGACTCATTTATGTCACAAAACCTGAAAGGTGGTGGTTTATCTTCTCCATTTGGTAATTGGAGGAAAACCGAGGCCCGGCAGAGTGGCCCAAGTTCCTGTGGCACGTAGAAATCAGGGCCAGGCCTTAGAAACACCCACGAGCCTGGCATCTCTTTCCTACCATGTCTCATGGCGATAAGGCATGGGTGCGAAAATATTTCCCATTGTGACTGCTTGGAATTGGCTGTCCAGAATCACAGTTCCGGCTAACACACACAAGGAAATGTTATTAAACTTTACAGTATCACTTTCAGTCTGCTTCTTTTTTTTAACAAAAGAGCATTGATCCCCCATCTCATCCTTCAAACTGGCCAACGTTGCCTTTTCGCTCCTTTAAAAATAAAGCATCTCAGAAACAAGGCTTTAAAAGAAGTCCAGGTACCCACCCCTGAAATGACGGGATCACCAAGCCTCCTTTTTACAACAATACGGGCACTGCCTCCTGTCCCACGGATTTTGCTTCTCTCGGCTGAAGCTCTCTGTCTCCACCTTGCTTCAAGTATGTTTTACCCACTGCCGTGCGTCAGCAGTTTCACTGCCAATCGCCATACCCCCCCCCTCTCGCCACTCACATCGCATTCCTCAGCCCACTCCACTCGCACCCCACGCTCGTCACCACACTCCACCACACGTCTCACGCCCTCGCTCACACATTGCCACACCACTTCTACTTTACCACTCACACCACACACGCACATTGCGGCTGGATTCGCTGAGTTTCTTCGCTTCCACGGCTCTCTCACTTATCCCGCCTCCCACAGCCGCTCACGCATGCGGCCATCGCCCTGGCTGGCCCTACGGAGGTCAGCCGCGCGACCCTCCTTTCGCTCCACTCTGGTTTCATCCCCTCCATTTCAGATTAACTCACGTCTCGTCTCACATCCCCAGCAAGCGCAGGGCTTTTGGGTTCAGCCACATCAAGGCCGGTCGCAGTCGACGTCTCAGCAGTCGATGCACTGTATTTTCTGCACATGACTTAGCCAAACAACGCAACGATTTTAACTCTCGTAGCTCCACTTTTCTCTACTGCCTACATCGCGGCACGGCTCCATCAATATAGCCACACCTCACAGGATGTAGGATGACCTGCGCATGAGCTGCCTAGCTCACAAGTCAAGTTAAAGTATTAGATACAACGTTACCAGGAATCTACATAGCCTCTGACGCCGGCGACCCACGCCAACCCACTCTCGCCAAGGTCGAAAAACCAGCAAGACACGGACACGAATAGGGTCAAAAGCGACAATAAAAAAATTCAGTGTCAGGCGGGCATAGTGTTAATATTAACAAACCCCCCACCGCCCACCCTTCACCCAGCAACGCCAACTTCCCACCACACCCCCCCCCCACCCGCACTCTCGACACTCCGCCCTCTACACGCACCGCAGAACCCACCTCTGCAGGGTTGCACACAAACACATCAATCTATAAACTTTGGAGGAACATGGATACTGTGAAGCCTAGGTTTAGCCAAATGATTTTCATCACATAAAAGGAGTTTGAAAGAAAGATTATTAACATGCCCTCTCCTTACTAAGAATGCGTTGACATTGAGCCTTATTCTGATCTTCCCTAATATAGTGGTGAGCTGCCTTCCTGGTGCCCCTAACAACTACATGAGAAAGAGAAGGTTCTATGTGCAAAGAAATCAACTGTGCAATGTTAATAAATAAATTCAGCATTCTCTTTAGACAAAAGGTTGGTTAAAAAGGACACACACAACAATCCCATTCCTGACAACCATCGCACTGTTGTATTCCCCACAGGAAAAATTAAGAATCATCAAAAATTACATTACAGTTCAAGCGTTGACAGTTCTTAAAAACATGACATTCAGCCATTAGCCTTATTAGCTTTATGAACACAAGAGATACAAAACATAATTTAAATTACATAATGAACTGCTCTTAATTAATACAAGC